AAACCTCTATAAATTTTACCGATACTAGATGCCTCGTTGATAATTTGTTGATTTTCCTCGGTGGCGTCATTGACTTTGCGTTTAAGTTACAAGACGGTGTATCAATGTATTAATATAAATCATTCAAAACACAACTTAAAGCCCTTTTTTACATATTGAAATAAACCAGAACTCGGGTGCTAATCCACATAAATAAAGATTTCTTTTATTCAAACTAATCTTGATTTTAAGATAGTATTGTGTAGTTTTCTTACAAGCAGATCTTACTCGCGTCTTACCCTACTGTTACCTATCGATGGGAAACCGTCACACGAACAATAATGATACATCAGATGCACCTATATTGAGTATTTTGACATATAATTAGAATAATCCCTTAAGACCAATATTATTGGTTTGACTATAATTGGGCTTATAATTGGGCATACAGTTTCAACACTTAAAATCATTCATATTCCCGTGCACTGTTTCAACTTGTCTTCGTGAGTCATTCATCATTTTTTGTTCGTTTTTAAAGTCCATCAACCAAAAAATAAAAAAGAAATAAAATAAAATGAAATTGACTTTACTTCCCCCTTTTCTACTCTAGCATTTGGTCTCATGTAGACGAGCAGCATTGTAGGTGTTTCATGAGGAAAATTTTTTGAACTGCTATGCAAATAAATCAATGTGCTATTCAGTTATTAACTATATGATTTTATGTATATTACATATATTATGCAGAACATTCTTGAATGTAATCAGCTAACTGCTCAATAAAGGAATTTTCAAAGATATGCATAAAATTTATGATGCAAAATGGCACAAATATTACATATTCCATGCATGATAAAAGCTTGATTGTTGTTTCAAAATCAGTAAAGGCAGCTTCTCTTTAGGACCCTTAAACATAACTTTCCAGAAAGCTATGCTAAAAAAAAAGTTTCAAGTAGTGAGCGCCATGTTTTATTTTACAAAGTTGAAAAAAAACTCGACGACGACTGGTGAATAAAATACGACTGACGATTTGGCCTAATTGTGACGACTTCGGGGCCTACTAAGAATCATAGGCTGTTATTTTAAATCGATTAGCTAATAAGATTCTTTCCCTTCAGAACCGTTTTTGTTACTTCTTGCAAGTGCAAAATAGTGGGTGGGTTCGCATGAAATATAGTAGGCCACAGGTAGGTATAAAATCCCAATATATCAACCGGAAGTAAAATATTGGTGGGGAAAATTTGAACAAAACAATTGAATATGGGGGAACTTTGGAACGTCAATTTTGCATAGACGATCTTTTTCTCATTGTGTAAAAAAATACCTCCAACTACAACGTTTTCTTAAACGAATGAATGCCACCATTATACGAAATGACGATATAAGTTAAAGATATGAGTAAACATTGGCAATTATTTTTGATTATTTCGTATTAAAGCCACTAACAGTGTCTTCATTCGGTATATTTATACATTGATCAAAATCACCCTAAACATATTCGATAGAGCCAACTGTCATTGTATTACGTGGACCTCTCTCTTGTTTTTACCAATTATCCTATTATTTTTTCACTATTGTTGTTTTTCTAATATATTCTCATATAACATGTCATTAACTCGAACACACTATCTTCACCTTTACCATCTAACGACTCGCCTGATTAAGATTGGATTTGACAACCGAACACAGCTAGTTCTCTACATCTACCTTCGTTTAAAACCTTTGAAACTAATAGTTATAAACGTTATGTCATGAATTAATAGCCCAGTCAACAATTGAAATCTTCTGTTGACAACCATAGAGCAACAAGCATCAGTCTCAAAGTTTTAGTCGATGTCTTTTACAGCAAACGTTTATATGGTCTTGCATTGATCATATTATTCACAATGATTATCTGATTTTAAGGTATTTTGGGGGTTGCAGTAGAGCCAAAATTGTCATGTAAATATAAAAAAAGATTTCCGACACTTATTCTCAAAATAAGAGTACAATTGTAATCTGTTCAAAAGTTATCTTTCCATTTAAAAAAAATGTTAGGCATACCACTTTTATTCACGAGCGGATCAAAACTGTCATGGCCCCTTCTAGAGACCTAAAATTACAAAAATTTTTAGTGGAAATATGTATTTTATTCATTTAATAATATTGATACTCCTTCAAATGTAGGATTAGAGCCCTTTATTCATTATCCCCCCCCACCCCCCTTTGGGATTCGAAACAAAATTTGCGTTAATCCCTCCCTTTGCAAAGTTCTGCAGCCGCCCCTGGCTAGTTAAGTCAATAACTAATACTATAGGCCTAGTTTCCAAGGTTATAATGTAGGGATTTATAAATCACAGATAAAGACAGATTTACATAGAAAGCAAAGTACTGTCTGTATAGAATAAGATAGAAACTCCAAATAAATTCTTCTCCATATTGATGTAGTCAGTGTAGTTGACGAGTCTGAAACTATTGAACAGTATAATTGATATTAAGTGGTACCCTTGACAATACTACGTCCTCTTATTTTCAATAATACATGGGTTAGCTTTATAAATTAGTATTAATATTGCCCTTGTTTTAGACATAATCACTGGCTTTCATTCACATCAATGGTTCACTTCAAGCGAATGAAGTCATTTTATCATTCCAATGATATTCCTGTTTTATAAAGCATTTTTGTTTTCCATTTCTCCTGGCCGGATTTAATGACCATCGTTCTGATTGGTCACTGTATTGTGAGGTACCAATGACATGACTTTGTTTGAGTTCTGAAAAAAGGTAATGAGTAATAATATACTCAGAGGTTAGATGGATTTCGATGATTTACGAATATGTGTTCAACGATCCTTAAAGGACCAGAGAGAACGTTTACCGATTTATTTCCGGTGTTTTTTTTTTCAAAAGAAAAATCGACAAAAGGGATGTGTTTGATTGAGTTTGATCACCACTTATTCCGGTACGAGCCTGTATCATCTTCAGCTGCACCCATCAAACATAACAATAGATAGAAATGCTTAACTCAATGGAAACAATTCTGTGGCCCCATGCATGAACCTGTTAACCCACATGTTACCAAAAATGCAAAAGAACCGGCCTCTTTCCGAATGTTCGAGGAAATCTTTGCCACAGAAAGATGTTACCACTTTGGGCAACCTAGTCTTGACACCTGCAAGACTTGTGACAAGATTGAGATGGCTTTAAGGGCAGACACTGAAAACCCTGATTGCAAAACGGAACGGGAGCTTCATTTGCGTAAAGCTGAAGCTGCGCAAGTCTGTATGAAAGATGATTTTGCATTAGCCCAGAACACGGACACCACATGGACTATATTGACTTCCAACAAACACTGCCAACACCTCATATAAACACAAGTGTTACATTTTATTCCAGGCAATTATATGGACTTCTAACTTAGGAATCCATGACCGTGCAGACGCCACCATGCACATGTGGTCGGAAGATATTGCAGGACGAGGATCCAGTGAGGTTTTATCAAGTGTATACACATATCTGAAAAGGCAAAATATTCTTGCTGATCATCTGATCGCATGGTCGGATTCCTGTGGTGGTCAAAATAAAAATAAGAATGTGATCAGTTTTTGGTATTACATCGTCCATGTGAAGAAAATGTTCAAAACTGTTGAGCATACATGTGTGTATTTTGTAACTAAATACAACTGCTTCTGTTACCTTAAGACCAGCCGCTAGTTGGTATTTTCGACATTTGATTTATTTGTTACTATTTCAAGGGTTAATATTTCAATAGTTATTGTTTCGAGTTTAAAGTTTACATGAAGTTTCATGACAATGATTTGATTTCCATGGCACAGTGTTGTGATAAACCAAATTTATTATTTTCTTTTGTTAAATAGGCCTACAAGAAGATGTCACTGTTTGTTACTGAATAAAACAGTTATTTTCCATTAAACACATAGTAATGTTTCACTTTACCGTGTATCAACCTGATAACCTGGGGTTTATGCACTGGAGTATACTTTGGGGTTATATAATTTAATTTCATATTTCTGTATTTTTCCTTGCATGTTCAGACTGGTCTCTCTGGGATTTTCAGAATAAAAGAACGCATAGGCGTAAATATGAAGCCTTGACAAACCTTAAACCTATGTCTAGTTCACTAACATGCATATCAGAAAATGATATGTTTAAATTCAATTTTCTCTTTTTCACAAATCTGTGGCTTATTGTGTTCATGAATGGGGCCACAGAATTTTTTTTTCGATATCCATGTGTTTCATACGGAGAAAAAACGTGGTGTTTGCCTAGGGCTTAGGCCCTACAAGTGTCTATCTATTCAATAAACCTATTTCCAATACTAGTTCATTACCACTGCTTAAAAAAGGCTACCATGAATAAAAATAGATATCATAACATTAAAATGTTTTTATTGGGGTTCACTGCAAAATAAGCGTATTCTACTGGCGTGATTCGGTGTTTAATTGGATAAATTGAAACTGTAACAAAAGGGAAGTAACTCTCGTCTACAAACATAATTATCAGCCTACGGGGGGGGGGGGTAATAAGTAATAAGCTTCCAACTTAACTTATATATTATAGTTCTTAGTAACGGGGATTCAAAAATAAAACTACACCGATAACTCTATTCATAACTCTATGATCCGGATATTTTAGAGTCATTTATCGTTTAAAAGAAATCAATACAATTTCGATTGCTGCATACATTCGGTCAACCAAATATGAAATTAAGATAAATTATGTATAAATGTATATACTTTCAAAACATAAAATGTTTGCCTCCTCTTCATTTTTTATGTGGCTAATAAGATATATCTCTTACGGTATCTATCAAATATCTATTTCGTCAGCTGAAATTTAATGTTAGTATATAAGCAAGTAAACAACGGCTAACATCGAATGAAGGGTAAAATTCTCACTTCCTGTTAATGGCTGATATTTATTGAAAACTCTACACGTGAGATATTTCATCAGTCAATTAATACTTTCCTTGTTTGCCCTCGCCCCGACTAAAAACAAAGATGAATTTTTCAAGCGGATCGTCTGGAGGTTCAGGACCATCAAATGAAGAAGCCATGGAACAAGTGAAGCAGCAAATCGCCATGGCAAACCTTCAAGAGTTGATTCAGAAAATCACAGAGAAAAGTTTCAAGAAGTGTGTCACTAAACCAGGATCGTCATTGGACAATTCTGAACAGAAATGCATCGCTATGGCTATGGATAGATATATGGACGCTTTTGATGTTGTTTCTAAAACATATGTTTCTAGACTTCAGCGTGAAATGAATAAATAAATGATATTTATCGTGATATGACTGGGGAAAATTGAGACAAGTGTGAATGACTTTGAAAATTGAGGTTGAAGGTTAAAAAAAAATTCTATTGTTAGCTCAGGTGGTTAATTTTTGATGTGACATTGTAGTTGTACCATAAATGTCATTAGATAATCATAATTTCAAGATGGTGTTCAAAAAGAAGTGTAGAGGCCTGTATTGACTTGACCGAGAATAACACAAATACATGTAGTCTAATCTTATATAACAATGGAACCATTGCATCATTATTGGCTACAAATACACAGTTTAGAACAGTAGAATGTGATAGACTAAAAGTGTGATATTATATAACAAATGATAAAATATTTCAATTGTTACTTAATTATATTCTGTGGATTGTGTTGACACTTTGATACATGTAAGATTAGGACATGGTCTCCTATACAAAATGATAGGGCTGAAGTCTTCATCTGCTTGCTAAAATTCAGATGTACCCATTGTCGAACTACAGTACTGTCTTCACACATTTTTCAGTGAAATCAAGTATTTATTAATATACCACCCTAACTGCTTAATGATTTCTTCTTTTCTTTAAATATCAAGATAGCTTGCCAGGCAAGGTAATATACGCCCACTGGCAGCTTTAGTTTTGAACATAAATATTTGGCAGTACAGTAACAATCACCAGTATGAAATATTCAACTTCAGTCATACACTTCTTTTAAACTCTTTAGCACAACACTGAATAATATTGAGTATGAGTTATTGCCCTAGTTCTTGAAAACGTGTTCAATCTTTAGCTCGTGAAAACTCTAGAAGGCAAATATTCAATCTTCAGGATTGAATGATGAACATAAATATTTAGCAGTACAGTAACAATCACCAGTATGAAATATTCAACTTCAGTCATACACTTCTTTTAAACTCTTTAGCACAACACTGAATAATATTGAGTATGAGTTATTGCCCTAGTTCTTGAAAACGTGTTCAATCTTTAGCTCGTGAAAACTCTAGAAGGCAAATATTCAATCTTCAGGATTGAATGATAAAACCAAGTTTTGTCAAAATCCAGAAAGAATCATGCCTTTTAGTGTTTAAGCGCTAAATTTGAAAGCGGTTTCAAGAATAAGGGCAATAACTCATACTAAATATTTTTCAATTCTTCTGATTTTCAATAGGGTTCATCCTTGGGTGATTACGAACATTCACACCAAGTTTCATCAAAGTGATCACGTGCTAAAAATTGAACGCATTTTCAATAGCAAGGGCAATAACTGATACTAAATATTATTCTATTTTTCTGATTTTCAATAGGGTTTATCCTTGTATGATAACAAACACTCATGTCAAGTTTCGTCAAAATCCGTCAAGAATTGTCCCTTTTAGAGTGTTTATAAGCTAAAATTTTAACGCGTTTTCAAGAACAAGGGCAATAACTCTTTTCGATAGGGTTTATCCTTGGGTGATTACAAACACTCACACCAAGTTTCGTTAAAATCCATCAAGAATTATGCCTTCTAGAGTGTTTACAAGCTAAAATTGAACGCGTTTTCAAGAACAAGGGCAATAACTCATAATAAATATTTTCGATTCGTCTGATTTTCAATAGGGTTCATCCTTGAGTGATTACAAACAACCATATCAAGTTTCATCGAAATCAGTCAAGAATTGTGCCTTGTAGAGTGTTTACGAGCAATTGTGGGCGGACGTACCGACGGAATGAGGTGACGGCAATATACGCCCCCCCATTTCATGTGGGCATATAAAAATGATTGTCATTCATAGAAAGTTATGTGTCAATTAGATTATGCCATTGATTTTGATTATGTACCAGTATACATGTATTTTGTATGTACTGTACTTAGTTAAGCACTAAGTGCTACCATACCCAGTTAATCAGATAATATATGGATATGATCAGTGACGATATCACATCTGTATATCAAGTCTGAGGAATAGGGTAAGACCAGAGTTTTGGGCAAGTCGAAACCAGGCCACAGGAATCATAGGTTGTGAACAACAGCCCCAGTCTAATAAGTGTTTTTTTTATATGCTTTTTATAGTGCTTAGTCATTGATATATCAAAAATCCTTTTACCGGTACATGTTTTTGTTCATAACTCTCATTGTCAATAAAAATGTGAAATTATTTTTATTCTTCCTTCAGTATGCTGATACATGGTGTATCAAAATCGAATTTGTCTAAGATCTCATCATTATGATTGATCACACCAAATTTCATTTAAATCGGATGAAAATTGTGTTCTCTATATTGTGTTCACAAACAAATTTTGACGCGTTTTTCACAAGTCAAGGGCAATAACTTATAAACCGTTCATCGAAAAAATCGTCAATTTCGAACTTGTCCAAGATCTTATTAATATAAATGATCACACCAAACTTCAAATCAGATAAAAAGTCTTGTCCCTATTGTGTTACAAACTCATTGTGAACGGAAGGACGAACAGGGGTGACAATATACAACCACATTATAAGGTATAAAAATATCAATCGGTTGGGGATAATACAGTAATAATATCTGCAATTAAAATTTGGAGCTTAGTTATGTATAAACTGGTAATGTTCTATAGACTTAACACTGGGATTACAAGGTTTCAATTATCCCTTATTCCACATAAGAACTTATGGGCCTTGTGTATATGCATTATGGGCAAATATAAAATACTTTCTTTGAATAAAAAAGAAATTTTTATTACAAAAACCTTTTTTTGTTATTTATAAGCAAATATCTGGTAATATACAAAGTTGATATTTTGTAATAATTATAATAAAACTAATCAAAGATTATACACAATACTTGTTCATATTTATAATTTTATTGTGAAAAGATAATATACAACAACAGACCATCAGGGGTTGTAAACAAACTTCCAACTACAACAATTCCTTAAGCCAAAATGATGGACAATATTGAAATGCAAATTGAAAGCACTGTTCAGAGTCACATACCATGACTGAAGATAGATGTTGAATTGAATTACCCCAAAGAACTATGTGTATTCTTTTAATAAGAACTTTATCAGAATAACTATTTAATTGTGCAGTTGAAATGTTGTTTGTTGACAAACCCATCTGGATTTATTTACAGATAACAAATGAGTTTTTTTTTTACATTGTTATTGTTGTGATAAAACATACTGGAATATCAACTTGATGAATGTAGGAAGGTAAAATTAAAAGGTTTCACTAATGAATTTCATTTTCATGAACTGAACCAGATAGAAAAAGGTAATTAATAAGAATTAAAGAATATGTTTTGTAGATTGGTGGTGTTTATTCTAATTAAAGGCATATTTCTGAAAGGTGTTGACAAATCTATGTGAAATACTAATGAAAATCAAATAATGAAATATTAACCAGGCCTATAGCTAACACCAAGATCAAGTTTTGGTCACTTCTATTATTGTATGAAAAATGACCAAAAATAGGTCTCATTGTAGGTCATGTAAATTGATATTGTTTATACATTGGAGACATTGAGAATAGCAGAAATCACATAGAAACTGGTTGGATTGTTCAGGGTAAGAAAAAAAAAAAAATTCCTGCTATGAAAATTACTTGTCTAATATTGCGTAGATTATGGCAGAATTATTGGTCTGACAAGAAAACAAACAATAAAATAAGCACAGGTTAAAGAATCCAAGCCCCATTTATATTATATCATAGCAAGCCCCTTATATTTTGTACAATGCACCCAAATATATCGTAATGGATTGCAATTTTCTTTGACACTTTCAAATGTCTTGGTATATGTTTAAGTACAATAATAATAAAACATTTTCACTGTTAAAATAATGCTCAATACAACAATATAGTAATATTAAAACAGAACCTAAAAGACATGCCCCCAAGAACACTTCTTTAAACTAATGTTCCGAACTCGTCTCAAAGTCTAGACACGAGACATGATTACTTATTAAACTCAGGCTGAAATATATAGGTCAGTTCACATAGATCACATAGAATGAAACTCTGAGCATCAACATGTTTTTTTTAGGTTCTGTTTAATATTTTTAAGAAATATAGTGTTGAATTTAATAGGGTGCATCCATGAGCTACTTACTGGATGAAGGGTTGGAGAAATGATAATGGGATGGTATCAACACTAGTGACATTTCCTATTATTCTTACCTCAGTCGCTTTAAACCCAAGGACACAAAACTTATAGTCAATAACTATTCATCCCACTATATCATATCTGATATCACAACATACCAATACTTGCATCAATTATCCAGACAGGAATTATATGAATGAAAACAAAGTTCCTTGACAGTGTGCAGACCATACTCAACACAATACATATTTCATAATTGACACTAGAAAGTGGCTGTACATTGAAGACATCAGCACTATGTATCTATATAACATCAGCAGTTCTCGTGTATATTACTTTTTAGTTAGGCCTTAATTTTTAACATTTTAACAAATAAAAAGAAATAAATAAAAAGCTGACCTTGTACCATCACTGATTTTGAGGTAAGGATAAAATAATTTGTTGTTTAGTAGCTAACACAGATTTCTAGCTAGTGTTTCTATTTAATAATTGAAATTGTGACTGCATTATTCACAGCCATTTGGCAATGCTTATAGGCAAATTGTCTGGCAAATAGAGTTACATCACCAACCCTGGGATAGAGATATTAATATATTGATACTGGTAATAATAAATATTAGAGAAAATAGAATTCAAAATATCTTAACAAATTGCAATAAAACCCTACATATAATAAATTTCCAGAAGAAATTTTCTTATGAGTCAATGTTCTCAAATGTCAATCAAATTCTAAATTCTTGATACTAGAGCTGAAAATACTTTTAAAATGCAGGTTCAATGCAAAAACAACAAAATAAAGAATACAATCAATGAAAATGTGGACAAAACAAGTGACATTATTTAATATTAGATATATTTCTTCATGTTGTTTTATATATAAGTATAAGCATGATCCTGAAAAAATTCTCATTTTGTCCTGCTTCAAATCCAGTTTAAAATTAGTGGAGGCTTTATCAGTTATGTGAATTTGGGCACAAAAATAAATACATTAACCATATATTCAAAACAAAGTTTCCACCCAAAAGCCTTTTTCAACAACTTGAAAGGTTTTCAAAAATAATTTTTTTTTTTCTGTATTTGAAGACAGCCTTGTTTAATGTCAAATTAACTTCAAAAGAAATGGATTGAATTTATTTACTGAAGGCAAATATTATTTAATATGAAAGTCTATAATACTAGAAATCAATTGGTTTTAGAATCAAGAAGATATTTCTTTTGCAATATTCTAACTTTGTATCTAACTCTAAAAACTCTCCTTCTCCTTCTGTTATACTACTTTGATACCCTCATGAACAAACTTAATATAACAAATATCTCTTATCACCTTCCACCTTGACAAGCTGTGTCTGTAATACCTCCACATTCTGAACGTGGAAGGTGATAAAGAAGATAGAAAAAGATGATAACCTTTATGCATTTAAGATGTAGCTAATTACAGTCTCCACTTGCCAAGTCATACCTTTACATAAGTACATGTATTTTGAACTTGAGAAAGGCAAGAGTTTTAAAGATTAAAGACCAGTGAATGAAAGACAATTATCTAGTATTATAGACTATCTGTATTACTATATTATCTAGTTGTGAACCATCATTATTACGTCATAGCACCAAATACAGGATTATGACGACATATACTTGGACCATGTTCATCATAATCTGCTTTCGTATGACAAACTTGATAAAATTCCGGCTGAAATAGACAAAGATAGTAATGGAAAGCTATGAACTCTAAAAGATGGAATAAATTGGATGAGCATAACTGGTTCTGGGACATATGACATTGATTGTAGTAAAGCCGATTGTATGTGAAAATATAATAACATTTATAGAATCAGCAAGCACTTCACACACTTTAAAGATTTCTTGTGCAAAGATCATAAATCAAGGTTTGATATCAATTCTGGCTCACTATCTTGTGGAATTCATCATTACATAAACAAAATCTTTTTCTCAGGAGTAATTAAATTAACAAAAACAAATAAAGATAGCTTGCCAGGCAAGGTAACATACGCCCACTGGCAGCCTAAGAATGATAAAAGTAACTATATTACAAATTTACTCATATATAATAAGTCAAAATGTATTTGTGAATCAA